ATGAGAGAGTGCGATTTCAGCTCTAAGAACTGATCTTAGCTAGAGCGATGACACCCAGCTATCCTCGGACCGTCGAACTCCTAGGTCAAGAATGGGTAAAGATCGAGATCAGGAACAGCCCTCTGACTCGTCCACTATCACCGTCGTCCTTCCAGATAGGGGAACTGGATCGTAGAATTGACTGTTGACAACAAATTCAGGTTGGGGAGTCGATACTCCAAATATCTTCGTGAATGAAATAGGTCAAAGACCTTCCTCTCTCTCAACAGTATCAACAATAAACCAAACAAGTGGTAGATAGAGTAGAGTACAGTACACAAAAATTAATAAAATGGTCGTATTTATAGTTTGACAATCCATGACTAATAATTATTAATAATCACTAATAATCGATAATTAATCATCAGGAATCTTGAAGATTCCACACATCCTTGTCTCTTTTACTGGGTTATTTTGGTTGTGTTAACTGGTGTGTTTGCTCTGTTCAGACTTCAGACCCCGTCACCCCGGCCATGAGGCCGGGGTCTGAATATGCATGCAGGCTAAGAGATGGATTTATTATAATTTTAATCTTCTTATCAAACAATGTGAATTGATGGCTCGCCCCCTCAATGTTTACATTCATATTCACCTAGTTATTGCCCCGCCCAAAACCAGCCCCACCCTTGTTATTCATTTGCAAAGTTTGCATCCGGTTAGCTTGTTCTTTGATCGATGGCAACTAAAACCAGTTCTTGCTCCTCTTCTTTGAGTCTCTTCTCTTCTCCTTTGACTATTGGTAATGTTCATTAACTATCTATGTATCATTGAATATGATTTTAGAGCAACTTATTGATGTACTTAATCTGTTGAAGAGATGTGGTTTCCCTCAGAGGAGATGGAAGGAAGTAGGACTGACACTAGGACTATACAAGAAAACACTGGACGCCATTGAAAAAGATTTTCCTCGTGATGTATCTCGATGCTTGATGGAATGTCTCTCCAAGTGGTTGTCCAGAGCTGATAATGTTGACAGTAAAGGAGGAGCTACCTTTGACTCACTGTCAGATGCTCTTAAATCTATGAATGAGAATGCTGCAGGTGACAAGTTAGATCAAGAGAGTAAGTTAATATCACTGATTGTATTAGTATTGATTGTGTGTGTGTATTCCATAGAATGTAATGCTATGAATGATACCAAAGGAACCAATCATGTACACAGTACTGCTACTGGTGAGTGTTAAACTAAATTGAATTGTTAAATCATATGTACAATTAGTGAGTAGCATGATCTTTATAAAATACTTAAATAATTAATTGAAATAATTACTACAGACTTTCTTGCATAGTAATAGAATTATTACATTAATGTGATCTAAGAGTGTGTTAATAATTCAGGCTATTCATATCTTTCGTGTGAATGACGTTGCCAATTTATAATGATATTCATTGGGATACCATAAATGGAAAATTTTTCAGGCTGCCATTGTGGAGGTATACTATCATTATTCATTAGCTACAATGGACCGACAGGCTAATAACTGTCAATTCTACTTCTTCATGTCACTCCAGTGGCTCTAAACAGTTGCAGACTACTAAAAAGAAAGATAAAGGTTGCAATTTTTTACTTTTGAGGCTATAACTGCTTGCTCTTCTTACAAATCGGCCATTAGAAACAGTGCAGCAATACCTCCACAATGGCAGCCTGAAAATATTTTTACGGTATCCCAATGAATATCATTATAAATTGGAAATGTCATTCACAGGACAGATATGAATAAAATATTATCCATGTTCACTAGTATGTAGTGGTAAACAATGGCAGTAAAAGTTATTAATGCAATACTATACTAGCTATTACTATGATGCACAATGATAAGGAACTGACTATTGGAGGAATGTAATGTGTCATGAGAACTAATAATAGTGTTTCATAATAAATATTATTACATTATTAATTATTTTATTTTCCATCAACAATAGGACCAGCTCCTCCATTGATAGGAGGTCCTCCACTCTCTCCTATTGCATTAATGGATATACCAGATGATAGACCAAAAGTATCTGAATTGATAGAGTTTCATGAGTTATTGATCAAAGGACAACTGGAGGAGTCTCTGCTACTGCTTGATGCTGATACTATAAGAAAGATTAAAAATGCTGTTAATGATCATGAAGGAATGTCTCTTCTTATAAGAGCATTTGAAGAACATCCAACACTGCTACATGAAATGAGAGTAGCTACTGGAAAAATAAAAGGTATAAATGTTTCAAAAAGTGTATTAAAATTAGCTAGTATAATCAGTAAGCACTAGATTATTTACAGTCAGTGTTTCTTATTATTAATAGCAATTACTATTAATAGGTTCATCACAAAAGATGCTAAAGTCTCCTCCCCCAGTAGCACCTAAGCCAAGATCATTATCACAAAGTGGACAATCTCAACCATTGACAACAGCAAAAGAACCACAACCACTATCACAAACCACAAAACCTCCACCAACTGCACCTAAACCATGTCGACCATCACTAACTACACAACCTCCTTTAGAAGCACCTAAACCATACCAACCATCAATATTGAAAAAACCTCCACCACCAGCACCTAAGCCAAGTCGATCTCAAGATTCCTCATCAGCTCCACATGATCCAACAGCAACAGTACTGCATGATAAAGAGGGGAAGAAAGATCCATCATCATTCAAACCAATGGAAGGATCAATGTCACCAGAATACAT